AAAAAAAAATCACACATATCTACACACATCAAAATTCTCTATAAAAAAATATTAAAAATTTTTTATCTTGAACAATTTTTCACACACAAATTTTTTTATAAAAAATTAGTTTTGGAAAATATCACAATGGTAGCTCTGCATATTGCGCAATATTTAAGTATGGTATTACGGGGTGCACTCTACAATAATTCGAGTTATGAATTTTTTTTACTCCGAAGTTGAGTAAAATGAGTACATTACAGATTGAAACATTTTAAAATTTTTTTTTAGAATTTTTTTGAGTATGCAGCTTAGAAACCCATTAAATATCAAAGTACAAGTTTGAAGCTACTGAAAAATTGCGTTGATTTTTAACATTTTTTAAGCATACGGCCTTTTACACTTTTATCTTGTGGAAGACAATGCGCAAACCGTTTTCCAAGAAAACTAAAAAAAATTAACGCCAGTTCTGCAATCGCTTAAAACTTGCACTTTATTATACTAAAATTTAATGGACTATAAAATTGCATGCGCAAAAAAATTCTAAAAGAAATTAAAAAAAATTTTAAATTTGTAATGCACTCATTTTACTCAACTTCGGTGTAAAAAAAAATCATAACTCAAATTATTCTAGAGTGCACTCCGTAATACTATACTTAAATATTGCGCAATACTCAGAGCTACTATTGTGATTTTTTTGTTATTTTTTTGAAATGGCATATTTTCAAAAACTATTTTTTTTATAAAAATATGTGTATGAGAAAATTTTTTTAGGAAATTTTTTTTTAAGATTTGCTTTCATAGAGAATTGTGATGTATATGTGTGAGATTTTTTTCAATTTTTTCCTCGTCCCGTTCTCAAGATATTTGGAAAACTATTAAATCGATTTTTTTTTGTTTGTGTGCTGTGAAGTTTTTAAAAATGTATTAATCAAGCTCAAATTTCATACGATTTTCTTCACATTTTAAAATAAAAATACATCAACCACGCGCTTTTACTTAATGGCTTTTTTTAATGTTTATCTTTTGTCTTTGGCGTTTCTCCTCTATTTATCAAAACTAATCAATAAAGCAGGATTGCAGACGTAGAAGTTATGGTTTCAATACAGAATTATTTTATAGCTTCGATTTCAGAGGAGAAATTTTGTTTTGTATTGTAATTACGTATTGGATAGTTCAGCTCGAAAAAAACAGATAGTCTGGCTTGGTTTTGGTCTGATGTCGCTAAACAAAAAAACATAATAACACTATTGCGAAATTTATTAAGGGCAGCAGTCTAAAAATAAATATTTATTTTATTAATTTAAAACAAACAAATACCGAATTTTTGCTTTTCCGACTTCTACACAGATTATTATTATTATTATTATTATTTTTTTTTTTAATCGGCCAATTTCCAAAGTACTCGACATTTTTTTTTTTTGTTGATGAATTTCAATATTTAAGCATTGCGCCACATTTCACATACTTT